CCAAAGCACGGAAGCCCAGCAAAATCGAGAGATTCGCAGTGGAATGAATTGCTACCGCAATCTTGTCGGGTGTCTGCATGTGCCCGTGTAAACAAAGTGCTTGGTCCGATGTGGAACGTCGAGATGAGCAATTTCTGTTCTGAAATGAGCCTATGAACTCACACGACATGGACACACAATTTTTTTTTTGTTTTCCCCCCCCCCCCCCCGACGCAGCCTCAACGCACATAAGCCTCCTCGGGAGTAGCTGCTGAGCGTGAGCGCGGAAAAATGGGGTTCTGAGGCGGAGGCCGAAAGAACAGCAGTAAAAAGTTCAGGCAGAGGGGAAGGAGGAGGAGGAAGATCAGACGACCTCGAGTTCGGCCAACGGTGGCGGGGCTTCCAAAGGGAGATCGGGCAGGTCGCTGTGCTCGTGGAGTACAGCGAAAGCTACTGCATTTTGCAGAGCTACGCCCAATAATCCCCACAAGTTCAATGCGACCCCGCGGCGCACTCTAGGATGCAAATGGCGTGTCCGCTCAAGTGCTAATGCCGGAACTAGTTGCACAGCTTGGTGGCACCATCGGCCGAAAACCTCAGCCCCTAAGTAATACAACGCGCCCAACCCCGAATCGGTCACTTCTGCGTATGTTCTGTTGTTATGTTGTTCTGCTTCGTGTAGAAGACGACTTCTTTGGTTGCTGGTTCCGGGCCGAGCCTGGCCCGTAGTAGCGATAGGAGACACAACCGTCACATCGCAAAAGAGCGGCCGTCATCGTGCCACTTGGAGTCCAACTGCGATAATGTCCAACCGTCGGTTATCGGTCGTAGTGACGGGGATGTGCGTATCCCGCAACATACGCTCGATATTGCGATCTGGTACCAACCCACCCGCTTCTTGAAACATTTGGCGCCATGAAGTGAGCAAACCCGAATGTTGGCATTGCCATCGTCCCCCGCGGTTGTCATTAAGCCTGGCATGACCATGTGTATGTGGGTCTGGACTGTCATATATCACTGCGATTCCCAGCCGACGTAATATTGCGCAGTATAATTTGTCATTTTGGAATCGCAAATTCGGGGTTGTTGGACATATTGTCAACCACACAGATGAATATGGACCCCACATGAAAACAATCTGGCCTTTCTTGGGGCAGCTGCGTTGACCCGAGCACCCTCTCCCCCCAGTATTCGGCGCAAATTCTTCCAAGTGTGGGGCTCCCGGGCATTCGAGGCATGGTATTGCCAACCGTGGCTCCACCCTCCCAGGGATACGTTTGTTGGTGGCACTTTTGGTGGACGCTCGCCGAGTGCCAACACTGCCCAATTTGGGCGTTCCCGCCAACCACTTGAAGCACACATCCGGCCTGCCATTTCGGCATCGACCAAACATTTGTGGACCGTCATTCATTTGGATGTGTCCCCGTGCATACAACGTGTTAAAATCAGATTGCCCGGCCGACGTTCGGGAATCTATCCAAAATCACAGGTAGAGAATCAGCCCAACTAGCCCAATATGCTGCCGGTGCCGTCCGGATTGAGTGTCGGAGACCCATCTCACCGAAACGAAGAGGTAATTCAGCTTGGAGTACCCATGTATCAAAGTCGATACCGTGTAATCGCCTATCCCATCTGTCCCGTGTCGGCACATTGAATAGTAACCAGAATGTTGTCAAAATGCCGTCATCGCGTTGTCGTGTAATGTCTCCAACGTGGCGTTGTGATATTGTACGCAGTAAGTGATTGAGTCGTGGTGCTGCGCAAAAATACAAAAGGAGCCAACCCACCTGCAAAGAAGGGAGCTTAAGGAGCATGTCGAGCAGCTTCCCCTTCCCTTCGGCAATTTTGGCCCCTTACGCATTGATGAATTCAGTAGTACCAAAAGGCGCATCAAGTATAACGATACCCCGTTCATCCGGTGGTTTATCAGATTTCCACGCTGCTGCCACTGTAGGGTCTTGATCTGCAGGCAAGGGTCTGGCGCAGGACCCCAGACGACCAATTTCCCAATATTGATATCTATATGACATCTATTCCACAGAATGTGTGTAACTAGTTCCAATGCAGTATTTACTTCGCCCGGGTCGGTAGATCCGAGTACGCTATAGTTTCAGCCCTAGGCGGTAGCATGCTGCGCGCTTCTTCCGAAGCATCGTGTAAGGCAAGACAGACCAATGCTGGCATCAAAACATCCCTTTGCTCACCGCCGTCACGACGTATATTGTGCCATGAATCCACACGCTTTTGGAAGAAAAACTGTTCCCCGTATCATAACCGAACGAAAAAGATCAGCTTCCATAGTCGATCTTCAGAGAATAATTTTTCAAAAAATACGGTACGGCTGACAACAAGTCTTCGTCCGCTAGCGTGTATGCCGGTCTAAACGTGCGGAGAAATGTTGCAATCCACTCGAAAAGAAGATGGGTGGTTATGTGGCAATTGCCGGGCGCAACTTTGAGAGGATTAATGGCTGCTTTTCTGTGCGTTTCGCTGCTGTTAGTTGCTGCTAGCTGCTGCTAGCTGCTGCTGCCCGCGCTTGTTTGGTTGGCGCCGCCCAAAGGTCGCCGCGGGCCGTTGTACAGGCCATCAGGGCCTCGTTGGGGGCTCCTTGGATGAATTCGGCCTCAAAACTATAGGCCTGCGTATTTTAGCGAGGAGTCGTTGCCTCGGGAGCGCGCACCGTTTCTACAAGGGACACATCCTGCGGGAGAAGGTGAGGTGCACACAGCGTTCCGCCGGTAGAAGTGTGGGCTTACAGAAACACTTGAACGGTCACCAGTAGAAGTTGCGGAAAAAACAAGTAGAGGCATACAGAAACCGCACCAGACAGCCCACAGGCACTCCAACACGCCATTGCCTCGCAGGCGCGGCGGCGGATTTGTGGAATGCTTGCTCAAGTGAGCGCGTTGCGGTCGTTGGCTGCACGCGCGCGCGCTCACTCGGCACAGCGGTCGCAGTTGGCACCAGGAAAAGGATGAGGAGGGGGAGGAGGAGGAGGAGGAGGAGGAGGAGGAGGAGGACGAGGACGATGAGGAGGTGGAGGAGGAGGAGGAGGGAGAGCACGAGCAGGAAGAGGAGGAGGAGGGGGAGGAGGAGTGCAGTGGAGCGGAGCCCGTTGCGCAAAGCAAGTTGGTGATGTCAGCACCCCCACTCGCTCGGGGAAGTCTTGAGGGCAGACCAGCCTCCCCACGCACATGAGCGGAAGGGGCGAGGGCAGGAGGCAGGAGGAGGACGTGCCCGTGCGATTTTCCCGGCTGGGATTCGAGCGTCCCGCGATTGCCCCTGGGAGGGCCTGAGGGGACCCCAAATGCCCCCCCCAGAAAAACCCACAAAGTGCCCGAGCAGACCCAAGAGGCACCTGGTCCGGATTGGGGGGGCCCGCGATTGCTCCCAGGAGGGCATCCGAGGGCTCAAAAAAAGGGCGCGCAAGGGACCAAAGGAACCCAAAAGAGCCCCCAGAAAAGCTTCAGGACAGCTCCAAGAAGGCTTGTTCGGCCCGGGCCCCGCTGTGTACCCTGGGGTCTCCCTGGGCGGCCTTCGGGCGCCGTCTAGCGGCTTCGGGGGTACCCCCCTCTCTTCCTCCCCCTCGTCCTCCCCCTCGTCCCCCTCCTCGTCCTCCTCCTCGTCGTCGTCCTCCTCCTCCTCCTCCTCCTCCTGTCTTCGCCCACGTGGTTCTGCGCCAAATGCGGGGGCGCTGCTGAGAAAAAATCGTCTCGATCAGAAACTGTGTTAGGCCAATATCAATCAGAATCGGCAAGAACACCTGGATCGGATTGCGGTTCGCAGGACGCCGAAACTCCTCAGTCGGGCCGAGCAGAAGGCAAAGCGTTCGAGTGCTATCCAGTGGCCTTCGGCCTATCCCGCCACCGTGCCTGGTTGGTGGGTCAGAGGCCTCATGGATGTTGGTTGGGATCTCGTGGTTGGCTTATTTGGGGCCCCAGGGAGGCAGTTTCGAGGCCTCTTGAGGCCTCTTGGGGGCAGTCCTGGGGCCTCTTTGGGCCTCTTTGGGGCCTCTTTGGGGCCTGTTGGGGCTCTTTGGGTTCCTCTTGAGGGCCCCTGGGGTCTCTCGCGGCTTCCTGGGGGCCTCTAGGGGCGGGTCGAAGGCCACGATCCTCGTGAGGGGTGTCAGAAAATTGCCCCCCTGAGGCCCACGCGACTAACCCCAAGAGCGCCCAAGAGCCCCCAGGAACGCCCAAGAGCGCCCAGGAACTTCTGGGTCGGGGTTCTGAAGAGACTATTATCTTCAACGTCTCGAGGCTGCGTGTGCTTTGGGGCACTCTACTTCGCGCCGAGGGCACGGTGGCGGATTTATTTCGAGGCTGAGATTTTGGCGCCATCGGGGGCGCTCCTCTCATCTCCGTAGCCATCGGGGGCGCTCTTCTCCGTAGCCATGTTGGCCCAAGCGATATTACAATGTTGGGCCTGCCGACACGCCTGCGGGTCCTTTTGGCGAACTTACGCGCCCAGGTAGCGAATTCTCGCGGGGCGTATCCGTTGACCGAAGCTGCTCTTGACAACTTGGGGAAAGTATTAGCTCAAGAGTTCCCACGGGCCATAAAGAATAAGAAGAAACGGGGTGGGGATTCTTTGCGCAGAGCGGAGCGGCATCGTCAGAGGGCGCATCGGTTGAGCAAAAAGGTGCAACAGTTAGAGAAGCGGGTAACTACCTTGTCGCAATCCAAGACTATTGGGGGCCGCCTGTCCCAGGAATGGATCGTGCGGGTTTTTTTAGCGGCGCCTCATGTGTCCAGGCGGGCATTGGCTAAGGCATTCGCTGTTTGTGCTGGCTCTGATAAGACCACTGTTAGCAGGCCGTCGATTGGCAAAGTGAAAGACGCCTGGGTGGAGATGTACACTGCCATGGTTTCCAATGTCGTCGCACGGCATGTGTCATCACATATGTTGGAAGCCCATTGTGTCGGCCGAACGTTTGCGGCTGTCCACATAGTGCACGTGCAAGATGAGGCGGATATTCGTTTGCGCAGCGGTGACGCCCGCGACGGGCCTGCCGTCCCGCGCAGAGCAAGGACGTCCAAGGTGCAGCAACACGTGGTTACGCTCGTCGCCGGTTCCCTGCGGCAGGAAGTCCCTACCGAGATGGAGGCGCTGGGGGACAAAACGGCCGGAACCTTGTGCACGTCGTTAGAGGGCATACTACGGCAGGTCACCGCCAACTGGAGCCAGCCCCTTGGGGACGAAGAACTCTGGGTGATGCATTTGTTGATTGGTGATGGCATCGCGACAAATGGTGCGGCAGCGAGGTTGTTGTTTTCCTGCGTGCAAGCGGACCCCCTGGGCCGCCGTGTGCGGTACTTCTTGGCGGTCGTCCGTTGCGCCACTCACCAAGCAGCTCTGTCCGCGAAGAGCGGCGTGATCGGGGTCGCCGCCGAGATCGCTGGTGGGGCGCTGCGCGAGGCTATCGCTGGCGTCGCCGTCCGCCTGTTCAAATACGTTTTGAACGATTACTACGAGGAGTTCTGCACCCAGGTTCACGATTGGGTCTCCGCCAAGCTGCGGGTGGTACCCCATGCCGACCAGGACGAGGGGGGCCGGCTCCAGGTTCAGGTGTTGCGGGAAGTGTACACCAGCCACGTCATCCCAGACGAGATGCTCGCCCTCTGGAACTGCGGCACCTGGCGGCTGGTCCACGCCGTTGCCCCTGGCGTGGACGACGTGGCGGCGCGGCCAGGGCTTCTTCGGCGTTTTGTTGATTTTCTGGTTCGGACATTGTTGCGGCCCGAGTCGCACCCGACCCTCACGCGTTTCTTCACGTTCCGCGGCGTGGTCGACCAGATGCTTACGATGCACTTCGTGGACATGCCGAAGAACGCTTTCGTGCTAGCGAGGACGAAACCCAGGGAACAAAACCGCAAGCGATTGACAGCCATCCAAAGGTTTTTCGGAAGTCCGCTGGCAGCCCAAGAGCTGCGCAGGGCGTCCATGGTACTGCAGTTGACTGGCGGCGTGGAGGCCCTCACCTGCGCCGAGCCAAAGCCGGGCGCCCTCCCGACAGTGGTCGTTCTAGCAAAAGGTGCCGCCCACGAGGTTGTCAACGAGAGATTGCAGCGGCTTTTGTCCACGATGTGCAAAGACCAGGAATTAGACGCGGGGGCGGCCGCGGGGGTGCTTTTTGGAACGGCAGTGGACCTCATTGTGCGTTTCGACGTTTTCAAAGCGTACCCGTTCCAGCTCTGCTACTTGTGCCGTGCGTGGTTCCCGCAGACGTACACGACCCATATCTTGCGATTGCTGCACGGGCCTGCTGGGAAATTGGATGTCGGCGTCACGTTTCAGTTGTACTCCCTCGCCTGGGCGACGGGGGACGAGATGAGCGCAATTCGTTGGTTCGCATCCGAGCCCGTGCAGGATTTTTTGCAGCGAACCTGTCAGGAGGCGCTGGCCACTTCCCTGCCAGCGGAGCGAAGGCACGCCGAGGCGAAACGTTGGGAGACCTCCAAGGTGACCAACATTGCCACGGCCTCTCGCGACATGACGTGCGTTCGACATGCCAAACATAGGGAGGCCGGAGCTTTTAAATTGGAGGCGGCGGCCAGGGAGGTGCGGCGCTGTCGGAAGATACGAAAGGAAAGCTTGGCATGGAAGGTGGGTGCGCTCCGCCCGCGCGGCCAGCAGTTTGGGCGCGTCGGTGACTCCGACCCCGACGAAGACGACACGGCCGCGCGGCGGCTCGCGTACATCGAGGAGCATGCCGACGAGCTCGAATCCCAGCGGGCCGCCTTGGTGGCCGCTGCTGAGCGGGAGTACGAGTCGTTGTTACTTGCGTGCCGCGTGCCCTTGACGAGGGCGCAGTGGGCCCAGTGGCTGGACGAGAACATGGAGCAGTTCGCGGAGAAGATGCAGTCCGCCCCAGGTCGCCGCCGCGCCCGGAACCACCGCCTGCGCGCCCGGCCCGGCTTGCCGCTGCCTGCCGCCCGCGTGGGGCCAGAGGTCGACCAGTGGAAGCCTTGCGAGACGCAGTGGGGGGTCATCCTGGAGCGCCGTTCGGGGTGGCACGGCATCCACGTCCGCCCGAACAGGAAGCACATGTTCTTTTTGTACACTCTGGCTGGGAGAACCTACGCCATCGACATGGAACCATTTTTGACTGGGGCCGTGTTGACGTACAATATCCTGGAGGATTTTGATGTGGCAGCAGCTATCCTCCCGCTGGCTGTCCTCGAGGATGCTTACACCGACGCTGACGTGCTCGGTGTTTTTCGATTCCGCGTGCGAGGGGGCCCCGCGCCCGGCGGGGGCTTCCTCCTTGCCGCCGAGGCGGGCTGCCGCCTCATTGAGCCGCTGCCCCGCCCGCGGCGCGCTGAGGCGCCCGAGGGCGACGAGGAGGCGGGCGACGGCGCGGGCTTGGAGACCTGTCCGAAGGATCTAGGGTTGGACGGCGACGGCGGTTCTTCCGAGGACGACCTCCCAGGCCTGTCCGATTCATCTAGGGTCGTCGACACGGACGCAGATTCCACGCCCGAAGGGAGCAGCGTGGGCTCGGACTCGGCGTCAGAATCTGGCGGCGAGCCCGCCGGCAGCGACGCCCCCCTGGCGGTCGACCTCGAAGACTTGCCAGGCCTGGGCTCAGAGGAGGTCGCTGGCCCCCCTGGGAGGGGCGGGGGCGCTGGGCCGAGAGGGGGCCGGAGGCCGCCGCTCTGGGACAACGGCTTCTTCTACATCCCGGACAACACGGGCAACCCAGATGTGAAAATCGTCATGCATGAGGGTTGGTCCCATCCCCCACCCGGGGGAATGGGGGACAAAAACAGAAGTAAGACTTTAACCCCAGCGCACTACGGGGAGAGCCGCGACGACCCTGTGCGGTCGGTCATCGTGCTCCGGTGTTGGATGTTGTGGCGCGCTGGCTCTAACGGATGGTCGGCCGCGCACCCGGGGAGGGCCCGCGACTTCGCGGAGGAGGCTGGGCGCCTGCAGCGGGAGATTCAGGACCTGCAGCCGCTGGCCGGCGGCTTGCTGGGCCATCCCAGAGCGGACGCGCGGCTCCGCGAGTGGGTCCCCGACATAGTGGCCCAACTCTGACCTCAGGGGAGTCGTTCGGCCTGAGTGCCAAAACAGCGCCACTCGTCGGTCACTTTTTTTTTTTTCGCCGATGTCTTTATTTTGCTGTCGCTTCCCGCCTCCCCTGCTCCTCGGCGCCGCCCTCACACACGCGCACACGCGCGCGCACACACGCGCGCACGCACGCACGCACGCACGCACGCACGCACGCACGCACGCACGCACGCACGCACGCACGCACGCACGCACGCACGCACGCAACGCACACGCACACACACACACACGCACGCACTCACGCACGCACGCACGCACGCACTCACGCACGCACACCCACACACACACCCAACACACACTACACACACACACACACAAATCACTACACACAGATAAAAAAAAAGAAAAAAAAAAGGGAAAAAAAAGGAAGCGCACGCACCGCCACGCACTGCACTGCAACGGCACACACGCACACACGTACGCACACATGCACACACACACACACACACACACACACACACACACACACACACACACACACACACACACACACACACACACACACACACACACACACACACACGCGCGCGCACGCACACAGCGAAGTCATGTGTCTGATATAGCCAGTTGTCGGCGCTGACTCAGGAGTGAGTGGCATGTGTTGCATCGGCCAACCTTCCTGAGTGAGGGCCACCAGCGTTGTTCTTGCTCTTCGCTTCCAGCACCTGGTCTGCACCAGTGCACGCTCCTGGACACATCTGCACCCACGGGCAAGGCGTGCCCAACTCCTGGAAGCCCAGGTGGCGTTCGCTCTCCAGCCTTTTTTTGGTGTGCACTCTAACCCCTGGAGACTCGCCAGCGGCCAGCGGTGCTGGTGTGAGAGGGAAGGAGGCGGAGGAGGCGGAGGCGGAGGAGGAGGAGAGACGGGCCGCCCCCGAAGTAGCCGGCAGGCGCCCGAAGGCCGCTCGGGGGCACCCCCGGGGGCGCCAAAAGGGCCCGGGGAGAACAAGAAAACAAATAATTTTTCTTCTTGTTGCGCCCGGGCCTTCTGGGGGCGGTCCTGGGGCTTTCCCGGGGGCTGTTTTGACCCCCCTCTGGACGGTTTTTGGGTTTTTTTTGGGGCCGCTTCTGGGGCCTTCTGGGGGCGGTCCTGGGCCTGTCCTGGGGGCTCTTTTGGCCCCCTTTCTGGGGCCTTCCGGGGCTCTGGGGCCTTGGGCCCCTTCTGGGGCCTTCCGGGGCCCCTCTGGGGCCTTCGGGCCAGGAAAATCGCGCGGGCGCTCGGCCTGCCCAAGAGTGGCCCAAGGGCTTTACGAGCAGCTATCAGCTAGCAAGAGCAGCTTGGTATAGCAGCGGCTAGCAGCAGCAAGCAGCAGCTAACAGCAGCTAACAGCAGCTAACAGCGCGAATTCGCGCTCCTAGCCGCTGTTAGCTGCTGTTAGCTGCTGTTAGCTGCTGTTAGCTGTTGTTAGCTGCTGTTAGCTGCTGTTTGCTGTTGCGAATGGCTGCGAGCAGCCGGGGCTCACATGCAGATTCGTGGGCTCGAGAGCGCGGTCCGCCTGTCCCACTAGGCGGAGCAGGGGATGGCACTCGTATCCACAGCGTCGAAGGCTGGCGCCGAGGTTGCCCTGCGGGGCTACGCTAAACAAGGCTACCTCCCTCCCCCTCCTCTCCCTCCTCCCTCCTCCCTCCCTCCCCGTCCTCTCCCTCCTCCCTCCTCTCCCTCCCTCCTTCCCCCCTCCTCCCTCATCCCTCCTTCCTCCCTCTCCCTCCTCTCCCTCCTCCCCCTCCTCTCCCTCCTCCTTCCCCCTCTTTCTCCCTCCTGACTCTCCTCTCCCTCCTCCCTCCTCCCTCCCTCCCCGTCCTCTCCGTCCTCCCTCCTCCCTCCTTACCTCCTCCCTCCTTCATCCCTCCTGCCTCCCTCTCCCTCCTTTCCCTCCTCCCCCTCCTCTCCATCCTCCTTCCCCTTCCTTTCCCTCCTGACTCTCCTCTCCCTCCTCCCTCCTGCCTCCCCCTCCCCCTCCTCTCTCCTTCTCTTTTTTTTTTCGCAGGCTTCGATGCGGACTCCACCAACCCCGAGCACATCCAGGCGTACCTCATCTTGCGGCAGACACACAGGCGCGTGAAACCGGACACCTTTGTGAACTACATGAAAAGGAAGGAGACTCATTTCGAGCACGGTGGTCGTGTGAAGGAGGAGGTGTGGGGGGTTCCGAAGGTAAACTTCCCGAACGGCTTGCCGCAGGACATGCAGAAGTCCGAGATGACACCGGAGAAGCTGGCAGAGTTGGCCCTCGTGGGCGGCGGGGCGCCCGACCACGAGACGTACTTTTTCATTGACCAGGAATGCGAGCGGAAGACGCTCGGGCAAGGCGTGAAGACCGTGGAATTCTTTTGGAAATCGTCGACCAGGATGCCCTCGGACGCGGTGGCCGGGCCCTCCATCGCGTCGGGCGCCGGAAGCCCCGGCGAGGTTCGCAGCCCGCAGCAGGACAGCGGCGCCGGGGCCGGGGAACCCAACTTGAAGGCCGCGGTGGGCGCCAGGGAGAACCCTTTGAAAAGGCATTCGTCGGACGAGGCCGACGGGGAGGCACCCGCAGCGAAGAAGGCAAGGCTCAGATTGGAGACCTTGCGGACGCTGCGCGATAACATCAAGAGCGCTGTGCAAGCGGGCCATTGGAAGAGCCAGAACGCCCTGCACACCGCCACTGTTGACGTGTACATTGAAGAAGCCAAGGCGATTCTGAAGGAGTTGAGCCTGGAGGCTGACGCGAAGGAGGTTGGTCTCGTGACGAAGTTCACGAACTTCCTGGCGCGGACTTTCCTCGCGGCCCCCGCTTTCGAACACCTTCACATTTTCAAAGGCACGTTCACTGAGCTGAAGGAGTTGGGCGGTCAGGAAACCGGCGAGGGCAAGCTCCTGGAGGCATTGGCCGTGATCACCGCCTCGTCGGATGCCGTCCCCGACTGGTCGCAGGCGGACCCGGTCGCCCGCGCAGCCTTCCGGGGCAGCGCCATGTACAGGAGCTTCGTGGCAGCGCGCGTGGGGGACAAGGTGCGCAAGGCCCAGAGCGAGGAAGGCCAGAAGCGGCTGGACATTTTGCTCGAGTGCTCCGAAGTCCCGAACGTGCCCCCCGCCATCAAGATGACGATCGATTCCGCAGTGGTGCTTTTCGACGTGCGCGTGCCCCTGGGTATGCGCATCAAGCACTTCGTCCTGTCCCCGCAGGCCGTCAAGCTAGCGAGAAACTGGGACCCCGAGGGTTTGATGGGGGCCGCGGCGCTTTTCCTCATGGAGACGCCCAACGTGAAGGACATGACGTTCGACAGGTTCGTGGAGGTGGCCCGGGCCGTCGCGGAGGAGGGCATCGACGTGCCCAACCCCGTGCTGAAGTCGGCGGTCGGGTTCGTGAAGGCCGTGTCGCCGACCGCCCCGCAGGCGGGCCAGGAGTGGGCGCATCGCCTTGTGCAGGAGGGTGTGACGGCCCGCTTGCAGTTGAAGGTGGGCGCCGTGGAGGGTGACTTCGACCCCGTGGCGGCGGTTCCGGCGGCGAGCGCTGCCGACGCGTTCCGCGCCACGAAGGAGTTCCTGTCGTTCCTCCCGAAGGGCGTTACCGTCGCGTGGCTGCAGGCTTGGAAGAAGCACCGCGACGAGGAGAAGGACAAGGCGAAGCAGGCCAGGGCCGATGCCAAGGATGCCAAGGATGCCGAGAAGGGCGCGGAGGTGAAGGCCAGCGAGAAGGGTGCGGAGGGGAAGGCAGTCGAGAAGGGCGCGGAGGGGAAGGCCAGCCCCGCGTCGGAGAAGAGCGGGGCGGCCGATGCTCAGGGGGGCCACAAGGAGCAGCCGCAGGAAGTACAGAAGTTCAAGATTGGCGATGTGGTTATCGGGAAGTCCCACCAGCACAAGGAGAAGTACAACGACGTGGAGGCCCAGGTGACAGACGTGCTTACCAGGCACTACAAGGTGAAGTTGCTGACTGGGACGGCCGCGAACACCTCGAATGACATTCACAAGTACCTGTTCAAGGACGTGAGGGCGAAGCCGAGCGGGGGTGGGGTGCTGGGAAAGCTCGCGGCGCCTGCGGGCGCGGACAAAGCCGCGGCGCCTGCAGGCATGCAGAACCTCGCCGACTTGTTCGACGAGTGACGGGGGGCCCGAGGGGCATTCGTGAGG